TTGAGATAGACCACTCGCGGAAAAAATAAAATAAATAAATTATAAATTATTTTAAGGATATTTCAATTTGTTTTCATTATTTGACCGATTAGTATGTTTATACTAAAACAATTAGACCTCTCGACCTCGTGGACTACGAGCTAATAGCCCATTCGGCCTCGCGGACTCGGCCTCATGGGCTATTAGCTCGTAGTCCACTCGACCTCGAGGTCTAATTGTTAAATAGTGCTGCGCGTTTTCTAACCACCATTTTATTTCTGTAATCGCTTCACGCAGCCGTTACGAGGTTCGTTACCAGGTCTCTCCCACTAAGAGTGTCCTGGGAACGAGCCTCGTAACGGATGCGAGAGGAGACTACAATAAAAAGACCAGATTTGGAAATAAAGGCATTTAGAGAACAACTGGACGATCACAGATCGCATACATGGGCTTTTTGTGGTAATTTGAATATTGACAGCTGATCTACTTCAATGTGTGCTAAAATTTAAATTCATTTTTGCTCTTTATTGAAGCAACATCTTTATTATTACTTACATTGCGAAAAACAATACTCATTTCCAGTGTATGGCAGTGTTCAGGGGCATTTTTTTTTAAAAAAACTATGTAATACTATAGTAGAAGCTTGCGGACAAAAAAAAGATTGTATTGCAAAAATAGTCTCCTTCGCGGTTACCTGCGCCATCTTGAAAGGTAGCCGTGCCTTTACATCGAAGCGAGACGACCGTTGAGCGTGCAACGATAGAAACCTTCTTTCACACCTACAGACAATTATTCACAGGTATCTATCATTACACGCTCAACGGTTGTCTCGCTTCGATGTAAAGGCACGGCTACCTTTCAAGATGCCGCACCTAACCGTGAAGGAGACTATTCAAATTCGTTTGTGACTAATATTTTGTATATTTGAGATCTCGTGAGAACTAGTCAGAACTTTGCTATCAATACTTATACAGTGGAGAGGTGCACTTTACTCTTTTGCACTGGCATTCCCACTCTTCATTTCAATTTTTAAATTTTATTTTTCTTCCAGCCAGCTTTTGGTATATTGGGAACTCCTCTTCATGTTGCAAAAATAAATATTAGCCAGGACGCTGGGCACAGTTGTAGTTCTCTATTTAGTCATTTTTCTTGGCCAGCGCCTCGATAAACACTAGACTCTGGGATAACGGAATTTTTACTACGGATTTCTGTCTTCCGGTTTCCACTGCGCATGACTCTTTATCCAAACGGCTTTGGATCGAATTTTCGCGAGAAAATCGCCTTAAAGAAAGTCAAAACAGCAACGTACAAGATCAATTACTTGGGATTAATAAAACATTAGTTCTGTATCAGTGATACAGAACTAATGTTTTATTAATTAGGTCTGTATCAGGAAAACGTTGAGTAATAATCAGCCCCGCACTCCCCTGAAAATATTCAAAATGTCTAAACTCGCCTTCGGCTCGGATCTTTATCACACGATACAACACGCTCTCTCGTTCCGTATTTGATGCACTGCAACATTCGCAAGTGTAAACGAGCCTTATCAAAGAAACTACGAAAGTGTACAAACTTTATCGATATAACAATTTACGCTGAATGTTAATCTTTCGGATTCACTACAGTACTAGATTTTTATCAACAAGAACCCCGAGTTCACGCAGCTATGCGTCTAGTTATATGATAAACAGATATATTACATGGCCACTCGCTGCGCTCGGTCCGTACTGTTTATCAAATGACATGTTATTAATAAATAATGCCAGTGCGGATGTTATTTATGAGCACCAAAACTGTCTTAGTCATGGACTGTCCGCATCAAATCTTGGTCTTTTTAATTGTTCTTAAATTTTTACAAATCGCGAAAACTTCAGAAATCATGAAACAACAAGGCCTTTTCCAGTTTGGGAACATTGTGAAAGTNCCTTGCCTGGAGAGTTCTCGCTGGAAACCAGTTGTGACTTACAGCTGGCTTGGACATAAGAACAGATATATTTCTCCCAGGATCCCGTCGGCTCCTCTTGAAAGAAGTACATTTTGAGTTGTATTTTCTGTGTTATCAACTAAGGAATTGGTCCAGACTTTTTACATTGTTTGTGTTGAGTTGTTCTTGGTTGAGGAGCTCAAATCATCAATTTTATCATAGTACAAATTGAGAGCTGAAAATGCTTTTCTAAGTTTAAACTGCCCATAGCTTACAATTTAAAATACAAAAAATTTGAAATCAATTTCTTTCTTCACAGCTTACTGAGCAGCATTTTCTATTTTGGATGAGAATGAATTTTTAGTGGTATCATTGTGCATTTTAAAAAAGAATCCGTATMAGATTGACTTTTGATATCGAAAAATTAACGCTTGAAACCGACATTTTGTCATCATTGTCAAGGTAAACTAAATAAGGGAAAATTTACATTAAGTTGGAAAGAGCAAATTAATAACAATAGTCCATTGTCCAAAAAAGAATCGTTTGAGTAGAAAACACCAACAATAAAAAGTCCCTAAAAACAATTCCCTCAAAATTGGTAAAATTCCCTGAAACATCTCTTTGAAAAATAATCTTTAAAAAAAAAAAAAAAATATTTCGCAGTTTATAGCAGGCTGCAGAATTGAACACAGCCAAACAAACTATTTTTAGAATGTTTTGCTTATAAAAAAATAACACCTCCTTGAAGCTCTTTGAATGGATACTGATTCTTGTGTGCGGGTGGTTATATTTGCGACATTGTCAAATTTGATGCATCTGCTGCTAGATCTCCTGGCTCGTGTTATCAATGCATAAGTGTTTAGACTTTAAAGGGACACTGTCAATGGATGACATGCGCAGTAACAGTCTCGCCTCTAACGGACTTTGAAAGTATAACCTTCGAKGTAAATCATTTTGTGGTGCTTTTGACACACTTTGGAATATTCTAGATCTGTTTACGTTTACGATCTGATTTATGTCGCGCCAACTTGGAGTCATAAACTTGAAAATACTAGCCTAGTGTTTTCAAGTTTACTCGCGCATGTCTTCCATTGACAGTGTCCCTTTAAGATATGATGATAGAATTG